CAGGCTGTGGCCCCTTCTGCCCTCTCGGCTGCTGTTTTTGGCAAGGCATAAAGAGCCAACTGGAGAGGAAGTGAATCGCTGCAGTGAAATCCAGTTTGCATAGCAAATGTGGCAGCTGTAAGACTGTTTATGACTGACCAGGAAAAAGATTGACAGCTGGGTGTAGGAAGCTGCCCAGCGTCCACGCTCTGAAAATAGCAAGTCCATTACTCAAGACAAACACATCCGGAGACTCAGCCTGAAATTCAGAGGCTCCCATCTGAACTGAAGGGATAACAGCTTCCCAAAAGGACACGCTGGATTAAGATAATCATATCTATGGTGCATTAAGACCCAAGCAAACGAGAGTGCTTTGTTTTCTCTCCATGGGGACCTCAATTACTAGAAATATACAGCACCATGCCTGAGGCTGCACAGGACTCTTGATTTCAATTCCAGGTAGAAACGGGCAACAGATTTCAGCTGAACAGGAGAGATTTCTGACAGCACAGCCCTGCAACGCTGGAGCAATCGGCCTTGGGAGATGGGGAGCCCTCCCCGGGTGGAGGGAGTTTAAGCAGAAGCTGAATGGCCATCTGTCGGGAATTGCTCTAGCCGCAGGATCCATCCCGATGGATACTGCATGGAGCAGAAGGTTGGACGAAAGGACCTCTGAAGTTTCTGTTTAGTTGCAAAGTCGTGCCTGACCCACCGCGACCCCATGGACAACATTCCTCCAGGCTCTCCTGTCCTCCACCATCCCTGGAGTCCACCCAAGCAGGCCTCTGAGCCTCATAAGTTTGTGTTCTGAGAAGTGGCGTGCTTGAGCAGAAAACTGTGGGCTCAGAAACACCAAGAAGCCCTTCTGGATCAGACCAAAGCTCCACCTGGTCCAGTACTCAGTCCACACGGTGGCAAACCAGCTGCCGTCAGAATCCCTCCAGCAGGAGGGGGGCAAGACCTCCACCTGCCCAGCTCCTCAGCAGCTGGTGCATGCAGGAATGCCACCCACCTCTGGTCAAGGAGGTAGACCGTGGCCAGCAAGGCTAATAGCCACGGAGAGCCTCCTCCCTCCTGAATCTCTCCAGTCTCCTTTCGAATTCACCCAGATTGGTGGCCATCACCACTTCCCATGGCAGCAAATTCCACAGTTGGGCTATATGCTGTGTGAAGAAGCACGCCCTCTTGTCCGCCTAACCCTTCCCAGAAGAGCGGCTTTGTAAATTCGAACTCGGGCACCGCCTCTGCCTTGCTACACAGTCACCGTGCTGTGAATGAGCAACCAGCTGCTTGGTGGTCCTTTTGTAGAACCCGCTGCTCTCAAAATCACAAAAGATCCCGAAATTCCAGATGCAGGCCCCACCTTCTCAGAAAATTCACACATTTAACAGTATGAAGCTAGGCACTAAGTGGCTTGTCTAGAATCTGTGATTTGTGCATTTCTGGGCTGTATTCATTTATATATTACATTTCTACCTACCTTTTTTTCTTTGTGAAAGAAGTCAGAGCAGCTTAGAACTCATTTCTTCTCCTGCTATTCTCGGTCTTATCCTCACAACAAGGTAGGTCGTGTTAAGCGCCTGTGAGTGACCCTAAGTCACGCAGCTGGCTCCGTGGCTGAGCAGGGACTGGAACCCAGGTCGCCTGAGTCCCAGCCCCACACTCTTCCCCACTTCCCCACACTGACTCTCACTGGGTGACTCTTTGGGCGACATTGCTGCACTGCGGAATGCAAACTGTGATGCCTGTTGCACTGCCGAAGGCAGAAATATTTAAGTATCATTCTAAGCATCAGTGCTTCTAATTCTCTTCTCTTCTGTTTTTGTTTGTTTGTTTGCAGCTTAGATATAGAAATGCCAGGAATCCACTTTGGTGGGCTCTTAGGTCTTTTCATGCAGGGGAGAACTTCTACCATGACGAAATCTGGACTGAAGACATTCCACTCTGCCGGGCTTCAAAGGGGATGAATGAATTCAAGAGAGAGCAATTCAGAGCTCAGTGTATCCCAAACTATGCCAAGTGGATCACAGCTGTGGCCCATCCCTGGCGGAAGAAGCCACCTCCAGCCGGCTCAAGGTTCCACGCTGACGTTCCTCCCCCACCCCTTCTTTTACATCAGGGTCAGTCTGATTCTTTTATTCTGAAGATGTTTGTCTCCTAATAAAGAACCCTCTGGAGCAAGTTAACAGTCCATTTGGGGTGCGGGGGAGCAGGTGGAAATAATTAATCATCATTTCATGTTGACATAATGATCCATCTCAGTAAGCTGGCGATCACTGAGTTTCCATTAGGACATGGTATCACAAACAACAGCATCACAGATCCATGGATCAGTGGTAAACCGCATGGGTTGGATCCTGCATTCAATTCCCAGCACCTCCAAGGAGGACTGGGAAGACCATTGTGTGAGACGTTAGTCAAGGTGGCCCATGGGAACACAACACCAGCCCCAGGGGCCTCGCCTAGCTCGTTACCCTCCAATGCTTCATCTAACTACCGTTCATTTTGCCCTCCCACCCCTGATTTTAAAAGGTCAAAATTCGTCTAATGGTATTTTTCCCACCTCATGTGCCTTCATTCCCCACCCGTCACAGAAAAGTAGTCCTCAAAAGCTTCTCCAAATGAAACGTGGTCCTCAGACCACAGGTGGTTCAACATTCCCAATTTGTACAGGTAGGTGGACCGGTGATGGACAGAGGAAGGCAGGGCTGGACAACTAGTAGACTTCCAGATGTTTTAGCCTACAGCTCTCATCAGCCTTAGCCAGCTTGGCTGCTGACAAGGGATGATGGGAGCTGAAGGCCAAAACATCCAGAGTTTCCTTCCCTAGTATAAGCAAACAAGAACTGGATCAGTCTTTGAAGGACTTGTAAACTAACAAGGATGGTCAACTTGTCAAGGGAAAACATTGCAAAGCCTCAAGTTCCCTTTACAATGGAAAGATTTCTTATAGCTTACTATTTTTTCCCAGGCTAGAGAACACAGTTCTTCTGACCTATCTCTAGGGCACCAAACTTTATGCCACAATAAATGGGTTAGCCTTTAAGATGCTGGAAGATCCTTGGGTGTTTCTCCTTTGAGGAAGCTTTCCCTTGGTGGCTCATGACCAAAATCCCTTCGGAAGGATCTGAGCTAATATTTTAAAACTCCAGTGTATGGAGAAGACACTGTCTTGGATCTTTCCAAGGCTATACATTGCCAAATATACTAGAAATGGCCTTGCCAAGACATTCAGGAAAGATGTGCAGCATTTGGAAGGCTTAGAGATTTAGGGTAGCACAGAGATCTAAAAATTAAACAGGAGTGGAGAACCGCTGAGGATGCGCCTTGCCAGGGCCACCCCAACTGGCCCGCAAGCTGCTTTTGCTGTGCTCATCTCTGCTTTTATCTGAGATAACTGTTGAGCAGGGCCTTTTGCAAGCAAGAGAGCTGATGCACAGGTTGTGGGTGGGGGTGCTGCAAACAGGAGTCGCCCTTACCTCTGAGCAGAGTCTTGGTTTTGGGATGTTCTTCCAAGGCTTATTTCGGAAGGGACTTACAGGCATCTTGCCTGGCCTACTTCTTAATAATTCCTTACCCCATGCTCTGCTGGCTGAGGCCGACAGGAGTTGAAACCTAAAGTTTTTGGAGGGCACCAGGTTAAAGAAGGCCACCCTAAGTAGACAACAGGAAGACACTGTTGGTGAGCGAAGGCAGCTCACGTATCAGGTCACCTTTGCCAGTGCCAGAGGACCTGGGTTGCAGGTTCCGCACTTCAAGCAGCGGGGGAACGGGCTGCTGGCACCTTCTGGTGGATGTCCTGGGTTATGCCTGAGCAGTGTGTTAACAAGGCATCCCCCACCCGCTTCCTCTGCGCTTCATGGCTGACATTTCCCTGCTTTTGGAAGACCTGCCGTGCCCCCGTGGCCAGTACCAAAGTTCAGTGCACTTGATTTCAAAGAAGGCATGCTGTGAAAGCCACCGAGTCCCGCCAAAACAAAACCCCAATTACTGGTCCGATGCTGCGTAACGCCTATGTGCGCACTCCCTCGTTAGGAAATATTAGCTTGACAAACCACTCGAGTGGAAACCCGCCATTTAGTGGCCTATTAAAACAAGTACCTCCAAGTGATTAGGGGAAGGAGGGAAGGAATCCACCCAGGCTTTCCTCAGAGGCTGCCTTGCAGTTGTAGGTTCCTCCGTAACCCTTGCGTGTGGAAAAGCACTCGGAGCATTTCTCTCCGAGAAACGAAGCTGTCACGCATGGCTCATTGCATCTCAGTTTATGAAGATACAAGCAAACCGTTTCCCTATTCATACAGCCCCTCTTGGCACAAGCCAGGCGGCCTCCGACTACCCAGTTGCCTGTTTCATCTGAACTGGGAAACCATGGTTAATGGCTTTGGAACAAGCCAGGGTATCAGTCCAGTGGAGGTTTTAACTATTTCCATCCTGACTGGCGTGGGATTAAAGAATAATATCTGTTTCGTTCTGAGTGGATAGAGCTCTGCATTAGTTTGATTATTATGCTGGCTTCCTCTTCCATTATCATCATCATCCTCATCATCATCATGGCATGCCTCTGTCATCATCAGGGCACTTCTCTGCAGATTGCAGAGCAGGTTGCTAGCATGTCCTGTTTTGCAATGGGCAGTTCCCTATTCGAAGTCCTCTGCTTCAAGGCCTACCAGTCCAGGTCTCGCTTAAAGACAAAGAACCAGAAATTACCAATGTTTAAACAGTTAGACAATTTTTTAGAAAGTATTTCATTGCTACTGTGCCCTTGGCTTAATTTGAATTCTGGCCACTGCAGGGTTTTCTTGTGAGGTTTCTTGCGTGTTGCTGCTGCGATTTCTCATTGCACCATTCATGCTAGCTTTAAGATGAGTGTTTGTTGTGTATGCTGTTGTTTTATATTTCTGTAAGCTGGCCAGCGAGTCATACTGGCTAACCTGCAGGTTATGGGGTGGCATGGAAATGGAATAAACAAACAAATGAGGGGTGGGGCTAGAAATTTAATACATAGCTAAAAAATAGAGCGCCTTGAAGTTTCGCAGCGATTGTTCACATCTGGGGTGGAAATGGCAGCCATTCATATCCTCTCCATATCCTCTAGGAAGAGATTTGGGCATTTCTACTTAATTTGGAGTCCTGGCTTCTCATTATAAAGTGACACATGGCAATCTATGTCCTTTTCTAGCCACTTGTGGGGTGGTGTCTTCAGGTCACTTGCAAGCAGGTAACCCTGCAGCCATACTCTTAAAAATATGGGAGGGTTTGCCCTAGGACATTGCAAGGAAGTGGCTGGCTGGCATCAGAGTGAGGAGGATTCCAGGGGCCAGGGCGCTGGTATTTGCCCCACTGTGATGCCTAGTGGCACCAGACTTTTCAAGGCTTCAGGTCAGGAACGGCTTTTTTGTTCATAAGGTGGAGGCAGGGTCATTTCAAAAACGCTTCAGGTGTTTCCAGAGTTTGGCAGAATCACGCCCTGTGAACAATTTACTGTATTAAATGGTTTGTTTGTTTGTTTTAAACTTTTCTAGACTGTCCCCTACCGTGGTCTTGGGACGGGTTAATATTATTTATTTATTTATTAAAACATTTTTATGCCGCCCCATTCGCCGAAGCCTCGGGGCGGCTTACAACATGACGGCTTAATAATAAGACTATATAAAATAAAATAAAACACAGAGTCCTAATAAAATTCCCAACCAGCAATAACACTCCAATTAAAACGATCAAATCTTAAAACACTGGGAGAATAAAAAGGGTTTAGTGCCAAAAAGAATAAAGTGACGGTGCCAGGCGAACCTCTCTGAGGAGCAAATTCCAGAATTTGGGCGCCACCACAGAGAAGGCCCTTCTCTGGGTGTTCACCCTCCTAATCTTCTTCAGGGAGGGCTCCCGGAGAAAAGCCTCTGCCCCAGACCTTAAGTGGCGGGCAGGCACATATGCGCTTGTTACTAGCAAGGCTGGGTGGAAGGAAGCCTTTAGTACCGTCACTTTCTATTAACAGCTTGATTCTTAGATGCTGGGCGGTGGGTGAGGAGAGACTCATGGCAAACACCTACCTGAAAGCTAGGAAAGGATTTGGGGCTTCATCAGCCATCCCTGTCCTCTTGCCCTGAACATCCTCCCAACAAAATGAAAATGATATTATGTTTTATTGCATTTCATGCTTTTAAAGTTTTCTTGCACACTGCCTTTAGAGGATTTACCTGAGCAAGACAGCTTCTAAATTCTCTAAATAAAAGGAATCCATGAAAGAATAAAGGAAGTTAACAGTAGGAGGTACTGGGGAGAATGAAATTCATTTAAACTCCCCTTTCTCATCACTTTATCCTATTAAATTTCAAGGATAAACAGGAATCAGGTTAAGTTAACCTGACCTGCAATGATGCTGTCAGTGCGCATTTGAGATTGCTTCTCACAGTGAACATGCAGCGAGGACCCCGGTTTCCTCTGCACTTACTACTCCTAATACTGAATGCAGGAAACACAGAAACAGAGTGAGTCAGAAGGGGGCTCGGGGCCATCTAGTCTGACCCCCAGCTCCAGCCAGCTCGACTCATGGTTGCCGAAATCAGTACTGTTGTTTTACTTCATTTTTGTACCACTTTCTGGGCTGTTTACAACAGTTCATGGGGTGACTAATAAACAAGAGCAGGTATTCTCACGACTGGGAGTAACTCCTCCCCTGGGAGACAGCCCTGTGAGAACCCAGCATGCCAAAATGTTGGAATGCTGAGAGTCTGTTGGAAAAGGAAAAGTGGGAAGGCAGAATGGCATTCTGGAGGCGGACAGGGAGGGCTGGAGAGGGACACTGTTGTTGGGGGTCCAGAATATATTGCAATATTCGATGCAAGGGGACGAGGTCCTGCTTTACAGAGGGCAGTCCTCATTTGAAGAGCTGACAGAGGAGAGTCCCCTCTTTGAGGGTGAAGGACACAATGGGTTTGACCCTGGCACACTTCGCCCAATTAAACATGACAGGGGTGAGAGAAGAGAAAATCTGTATTTTTATTCTTGAGAATAAAGTTCAATCACAGCAAAGGGGCAATTGACCTCGAGTGTATGGCAATTTATACCCCTTTATACCCCTGATGACCAGGTGGCAATGACAGCTGCTTATTGGGTTGAAATTCCTGCCACGAGCGTTGACTGGCACGTTTGCATTCAGGGGGTTTCTGCACTTACCTGGGAGGCTGGGCTACCTGGAGCTGGGGCTGGGGGCTTTTGGGGGGAGATTGCTCAGTCTCTGGCTATTTGTAATACCCCTGTTAATGGTGGTGATGCTTGGGACAAGACTAGTCAGCTCCTGCTGAAAGCCAGCCAGCCAGGTACGTCTTTCAAAGGCACCTGCTGTGTAAAGAGCTGTGCAGACAAGGCCAGCTGAAAGATAAGGAACCAGGGACACGAAAATGGGGCACTGAAGTTGCCCACCCACAGTTAGCACCTGGACTGAGCACGGCACACAGGTTACCTGGTCACTTACTACAATGAGGCACCCTGTGTCCCAATGTCAGCTGTAATTACTGGGTACTGGCCAGTGTTAGTCCTCCCTAGAGGAGATCCATTGGGATGAATGGGACTTCTGTTAATAACGAGAAATGTATCTCATATATTTCTATGGTTCTTCTCCAGGTAGAATTAACATTGGATATGACCCTTTCTTTCTCCATGGCGATCCATAGATACAAATTAGCTTTTGCAAAAAATATGGAAATGTCTGTCCTTTCAGGTAATGCATTTCCTCCTTTTTGGCCGTGCGTCAGGGGCCACGCTAGCCCACTAAACGCAGGGTCCCGGCATAAAGAGGCAGTCGCATGTTTGGTTTTTCCCCACACTCTCAACTCTAGAGCCCCATTCAGGGTTTTAACTCTGCACAAAGGATGTTTTTAAGAGGAATAATTTGGCAAATGTCAAGATGAAAGGAGCCAAAGGTCATCCATAATATTTACGGCCACAGAAAGCCTCACACTGGCTTACAAGAAGTTTTAGACTGTTAAGTCGGGTGTCCTGCTCTGATCAGAAAATGACTTGGTTACTCCTGATTCCTCAGTACGTAGGCTAGTGTCCCTCTGTCTGGCAACCAGTTCCTCCTTGTCTTAACCCCCGCAGCCCGCTGTTTCCACTCTCACCTGCCTTTTGAAAACTGCCCAAGTGACTTAGATGCAATAAAAGCAACCTGCACAGCTACATTCTCCATAGTCAAATTCTTTTCGGCTACCCATGCTTGCATTTTTGCTGCATCTCTCAATAAACTGTAATGTTCCTTGGACTGTACACCCACAGCGTGTCTTTCTCATGGGGTTTCGTCGCAATCAACGTGACAGGGCAAATGAGCTCGTGCTCACCTGGGATTCAGCCCTGTCACGGGCCAGGAAGTCTGCTTCCTCCAGGTCAAATGAAAAGGAGCTCGATTGTTACAGGGACTAGTGAATCTTGTCAGCTTGTGACTAAATGACCCTGAAAAGAAAAAAACAACATCTCACAATCCACTAAACAGCCTGTGCCTCAAAATATACTCCTGATTAAACCAGGTAAGGGCAGGAGAGATGGCACTATGCTTGGGCTACTAAGCAAAAAATCATTTTGTCGGTGCTTTTCAAATGTGGAAACAACAGAGACTATTCACCTACTGTGTCAAAAAGAGGGGGAGTGTGGTATAATGGTTAAAGAGTCATATTAGAACTGGGAAGATCCAGGTCCTAACCCAGAGCACTTAACTTCATTCCGGCTGGTGCTCTTTGTTGACTAGGAATGCATACTTGTTTTGCATTCTCCCACATTAGACATTTTTAATTTCCAGATCTCATGTTCTCTCTGTCCCATTGATGAGGAATTTGGCCAAGGATAGCAAGTTCTTATTTAAAAATAAAAAAATGAACCAGTCAAATCCTCAGCTATCTTTTCCAGCCAAATTCACCAGGCCATGGCTCTTACCAGCATCGAGGAGACCATAGCAGTTAAAAACATCGAGTCTGTCGGGGGGGAAATGAGAGAGAGCAAGCCTTATTCCACACCCCAAACATGGCTGAATACTCAGGCTAAGCCAGAGTTTTAAGAGCTGGCATGCAAAGAAAGCTCTGTCTGTCAGAATGACTCAGTAGGTTTCGCTCTCTCTTGCTTTTGAATTTTAAAATCGCAACAGATGCCAACTGCCATTTAGGGAAATGGGATTCTAGGGGCCCCCCTGTGACTGTGCACATGCCTGTTTCTTCTGTCCTTTGTGCTCCAATTCTGGATCCAGCCTTTGAGGGGAAACCAACGGGTCTGAACTGGAGCAGAGAGACTTTCTGCTGACTTCTCTTAATAGGGTGACCCTACTGGCAGTGGTCACCTTTGCCTTGGCAGCTTACAAATTTGCAACCATGGCAAAGCATAAATTAGATCTCTTGTTGTTATGGATAGATACGATCAACAGTATTACTGTAACAATTATCCCTTTTGTGGTTTTGTTTTCTCCAGGGACTTATGCATGAAAGATGTACTGACTAAAGCCCTGTGGGGCTTTGTGGGGAAGGGGTCAGACCTTGCACGCCGGTCCCTCGGCTCCGTCTCTGCGTTTGCTAGCTTTGCCTGCCAACTCAGATGGTGCCATGACAATAAATGGCAAGGCATAAATGGAAGCTCGCCTTGTGTGCGAGGACATTTCCATGTGCAATCACAAATCCTGCCTTACCAGGGTTCCCTGATCATGCGGAGAGTTCTACCTTTCTTCAAGTGGAGCTCCCACGCAGACCTTGCCGGGGCTGATGTGCCATAAGATGCCACGCGCATGGCCCCAATCTTCTACCCCCACGAAGCGCTTACATGTTCTGGTGAATGCCCGATGAGCAAATCAATAGATATACAATTATAGAGGTAAACCATGCAACCCTTGGCAACAGCTAGACTTTGCTGACTAGAGGAAGCTCTATTTTTAGAGACCAGCCTATGTGATTTTCTGAACTGTAGCTGAACTGTCCAGCTGGTATCTCAGAGCAGAACGGCTGGCACATGGCTGATAACAGCTAGAATAAAGGAGCAATTGACACCTTCCTCCTCATCTGCAACCTCCCCCCCTTCATTTCTGAGGGACCTTTGGAACATCTTTGTCCTCTGATATGCAGGGGGGAAACTCACACCATTGTAACTATACCTTTGTAGCCTATTAGAAAGTGCTACCTGTGTTCTGCATCACCCTTTAATGGACTATGGGATAAAAGGGCACACTGAGGAATGCTTGGGGCTAAAATCCTGCTTAGAAATAAAAACCTGATTACAGTGAAGGTGCAAAAGCAACCCTATATCATCTCTACGGGTTACCAACAGAAGTACAGACCTAATTTAAGCTGCTAAACTTTGACATATAAAGCCCTCAACAGTTCAGGGCCCGGATGTTTGAAGGAATATCTCCTTCCATATACACCCGCCCGAACTTTAAGATCTCCTGAGGTCCTTCTTTGGAAGCCCTCTCTGAAGGAGGTTGGAAGAGAAGGGCCTCAGTGCCCAGCTTTGGAATCTGCTTTCCAGAATGGTGTGCCTGGCGCCAACGCTTTCTCCCTTTTGGCACCAAGACGAAACCGTTTTACATACTCGTGTTAAAAAACACTCTTTCCTTTCCATCAGAAGAGAAAAATATTCCAGGCATGCAGAGAGTTCTTTTTAAAATGTTATTGCAATGAAGGGAACAGAAAGGAAGGGTTTCCTTCCCATCCTTCTGTTCACCTGAGCACATGTTCACTCCCCCCTTTTGAACCCTGCTCCCGGCCGCTTGTTCCCTCTTCCTTTCCCCTAATTGGCTAATAGGGTCCTGAGAGTTACACTCTTTCTGCCCCAACACCGGCCCTTCTGCCCAATCCAGCCCTGCCCCCGGTGGGCTACAATAGGCTCATTTTGTTCTGCCCAGCTTGTCAATAAGCAATCAGGAAGTATTTGGCCCTCCTGCCTACCTGCCTGTTTCCCCATACCTTGTGCTATCTGATTTTGGCCCCTCCCCTCCTCTGGGCTGAGTAATTGTTACCTGTTTAAATCTCTTTTACTTCCTTGTTTCAAATCATCCTTTCACACCCATCACTCGTTATTTTAAGGGTTTTGAAAATGGAATTTTACTTTTACATGCTGTACTTTAACATGCTGTTATTGATTTGTGAGCCGTCTTGAGACTCGTTTTGGGTAAAGATGGGGTAGAAATGCTTTAGAATAAAGAAGTAAAGCCACGTGTGCATGAACCTGTATGAGAAAAACACGGGGCCCTATTCCAAACTGGAGTGGCTCCACCCACTTTGTTGTGGCCCCGCCCACTGCTGGAATCTGGCCCACAATAGGCCTGCCAGGAACCAGCTCTGCTCTCACATCTAAAATAGGGCTTCCATGAGTCTGGCCTACCACTCAGGGTTGTTGTGCAGATAAAACACAACTAAAGCTGCAGCTAAAACCACAACTTCTAACAGTTCATTAGAACTTCCATTTATATAGCCACCTTGAAGCCTTGGAAAAACTGGGAGAAAAAAATTAATTAATCTGGGTGAGAAATAACCCGGGATGTTACCCAAAGGGGTCCTTTTACTTTTCAGTAGTCCCTGGAAAAAGCCCAGTGCTTCTCCTGCCCTTGTCCCAGACGCATCTCCTTATCTCCAAATGAGTCATATAGAAGAGAACATTCTGCAAGGTAATTGGTTCCACCCTGCAATTACACTGATTAGCAGGCAGCCGCAATTACCCTGTGCTAGGCCTGCAGTCACTCCACGCATCCTAGGCAGCCTCAATAAAATAAATAAAATAAAAGCCATTTAAAAAGGAGAGTGGGCAGTTTGGCATAGAACTTCACCCCGACGTTTCTCAAACGGCTGTCAAGCTTATGGAACACCAAGACGGCAACAACGGGCGCTCCCAGGAAAGGCAGGTGGGCACGCTGCAGCCCTTCTGAAGCCCCTCTTTCTCTCCCAGAGTTTGCCCCTGGCTCGTTTCGGAAATTGCAGAGGAAGCTGGCACAAAGTCATCTGGAAACGCCAGCGCTGTCGTCTTCTGTCTGCACTGTCATTTGTTGCCATGGCAGGGAAAAACAGCTGCTTCCCCAGGGGAGGGACACCGGGCAAAAGGCAGCTGTGAAAGAGGATCTACCGCCCGGCTGGGTGGACGGCAGGCCTCTTCTCTTCTCTTCTCTTGTTCTTTGTTTGGCGACCCTGCAGCCCACCAGCCGGCCCCTCCCAGGCCCCCCTCCCCGCTCCTGCTCCTCCTCTCACTCAAAAGTCCAGACTGGCATGACCCAGGAGTGCCTGCAAAGAATGACCACCCAGTGCCTTTCCCAGAGCTCCCCAGAAGGCCCAGCACAGACCCCGTTCCTTGCCAGCACCAGCAGGCACCGATCCTGATCCCGCAGGCACTCGCAGGGCAACCATGCTGGAGAACCTGGGCCAAGGTGATGGAACCTGACAGCCCCTGTCCCCCAGCAGAGCTCACCTTAATGGTGCCTACCTCTACCCCTCCTGCAGGGAGATACCTTCCCTTTCTCAAATAGGGTGTCCTTAAGAGACAGGGTCCTTTGATGACTCTCACACACGCAGTTTGTGGGCCCGGGCCCCCCATCTTTTCAGTCCCTGGTACCACCCCAGATTCTGAGCTCAGTGGCATCCCCTCCGTGAAGACCAGACACCATGCAAAGCTTTTTGACTATACAAAATGGAGGAGAATTGCTTTTAAAAGGCTTAGATTTCTAACTCGTATGAAGAAAGTATTTGCACTGTCACCATCTCAAGATCCACACACAGCCTGGGTCAGCTACAGAAAGCATTTCCAAACTTATTAAGTAAATAAATAAAAGTCCCAAGTCTGGAACAGCCAGTCTCTATTTTGGCTGTAGAATCCTCTCTGCTATTTCACCCAGGGGATGGTTTGCGCAGGCCAGCTGCCAAGAGGTTGCAGTGCAGCCATCCAGCATCGCTGTTCCGTTTCAAAACAAGCCTGCAGGTGCCTGAACCGGACGCATGCTCTCATCCTTGTACTGCGTTCAGAGTGATCTCAACAGATGAGACCAGCCGCTGGCCCGAATTTCTTCTTTCAGCTGCTTGAGGCCTCCAAGTAAACAAGAGCGGCAAGACCTGCCTACGAGACACAGTTCCCTGTCTCCCAGTTGAGAGAGCAGATGCGTGGCTGATATGATAGAGGACTGCAGCCAGCGCTCGTCCTACTTCAAGCAAACTCATTCAAACAAATAGGACTTACTTATTTTATGTATTAAAAGCTTTTCTATCCCGTCCCCTACAGAACCTCTCGGGACGGCTTACGATAAAGGACTTAGGTTTCCCTTGGATATGACCCTGAATATTTCTTCAAATGAGGGAAAGTTCCATTCCCACAGAAAACAGCATGGCCAGGAACAAGTTTCTCTGGTGTTTCCCAGCTAAGCTGTTTTTCTTTGTCTGGGGATGTTGGTTTTT